AAACATATTTACTGTATACAGTATATATATATATATATATATATATAAAGTTTGAAAGGCAAATGGGAAAACCCATAAAACAGCAAACGGCCATATAATATATATATACATATATATACATATATATATATCATTAAAGAAAACAACAAAAATATACAATACAGAAAATCTTAGCTATATATATATATATATAATATATGTATATATGTATACATTTATATATAAATCATTAAAGAAAACAACAAAAATAAATAACATAGAAAATGTTGGACAGTAGAACAGACTAAGAGTTTATTGGTTTATTATGTGTTTTGAACGAAGATAGAAGAAAGTTATTTATATATTTAAGATTCTACGTAATTTGGACGTATTTGTCTCCCCCTTGCGATACCGATCGAAAAGTAATGAGCCATGACTCAAATTGTTTTGTTATTAAATGCAAACCACGCACGCAACCAGAACAGTTTTGGAGGTACAGTCAGTGTGTGGTTACTGTTAATACTACTACTAGCGATGTATGCAGTTACTATTATTCAACCAAAACAAAGTCCGCACGGTTGAAGATATCGTGTTGCTAGCAATTTTACTTGGTAAGATAACTTTCTGATGTGTTTTAAATCATATTCTATAATTTCTGTGGTGTTTTTACGCCAGTTTTAGCAAAGTCTGGTATACGAAACGGTGTTACTGCCACACTTAACTACTGTACCAGGTTTAGTGCGGTTTCCATAATCCTTGGCCTGCTGATAGCGCAATCTGCCTAAGATATAGAACATGGTATGCTATATCTATTCCTATTGAGGACATGTACCGGCCCACTCGTCTTTAAAATTTTTCCCCGCAGGAGATATCCCCACCCCCACTATTGGTCACAATGTTCATGAATGTAATAATTTAAATGTTTGTGTTTTGCAGGTAATTTCCTTAATAATATTAAACAAATTTATCAGTAGAGACTAGAGTACTGTATGTATGGAAGTACTTTGATAAACGAGAAGCTTACGTTTTACATTGAAGTATTTACATTTACATTGAATTATTTGGTGTAAATATTATCCTCAGACACAATGACAGATACAGTACTTCCCTTGAATACATTTGCTTATCTCATCATTACACTGTGAATTTCAGGGAAGTAGGCATATTTACTTTGATAAAAGAATAAGAATTGGAACTTTTGATTCCTTTTATTGAAGTCCTACAGACAATTGTAATAAATTATACGGTGAATTCAAGTTAAGATATTTTTTTTATGTAAAAAAAGAAATATACAGTCCCCACTGACTGAGTTAACATCCCCTTAATATTACATGTATTATAATTTATTATTATTATTATTTAATTATTATTATTATAATTATTTTTATTTTATTATTAATTTTATTATTATTATTAAACAAATCCACTTATTAGTATAGTATGAACAGGGACGTACTTTCTTTGAGATTTTTTTGACAGAAATCCTACAAATTACCAATTATGTATTATAATTTTAAAATGTTCTTTTTGTACCTTGAAGTTTTAATAATTTTTGATGTAAAAATTAAGCCACGGGGCACAGTGACTTTAAATCTCCTGTTCATATTAAGCAAATTCACAGTATCTAACACTAGAAAAAGTCAATAAATTAGAGATTTAGGGCAAGTATTATATGTTAATTTGAGGTATATTTTGCATCTTAATAAATGCATGTTGTATATTGTTCTTGGAAATTCAATTTTTCAATTTCAATATATTACTATTCGCTACTTTATATCAGATCATACTGAATTGAATTAAAAGAAGAACAGGAGCTGATGATGCAGTGGCTATTGTGGCTTTGATTTCCTTATATAAAAGAAATTTTTTTTATTATTAAATAAAAATTATTACTAACTAGAGTTTTATTACCTCATCATTTTTCAAAGATTGTCAGTAGGATCATTCTTTTCAGAATCCTTACCTTTAAATTTTAATCAGGTAAATTGGACGGAGTGGCAAGCTAAATTACTGCCTGATCTTCATGACACGCTTTAATTAATTGTTGGATGCGGGATTAAAACTCTCTATGGAGTTTTAACGTGATGAGAGAAGTCATAATAATACACAGCTACTGTACTCCAAATAACTGTTGTGTTATTAACGCGATATCCTCTGAATTACAGTATCCGTATGAACTGATAAAATATTGATTTCTTGATTAAATTGTATCGTCATTTCAGAATCATTATATATTTTGAAAGGTCTTCATAAAAAAGTAATATTTCTAATAATATTGTTACTAAAGCATATTTAATTGAAGATGCTGGTGCTATTATTATTGTTAGATGAAGCAAGCCTGTTTGTGGTAAATCTTTAAAATCCTTTTATTACCTCATCATTTTCTCCGTTGTGTTATGAACACGATATACTTCGAATTACAGTATCCGTATGAACTGAAAAAATATTGAATTCTTATTAAATTTTATCGTCATTTCAGAGTCAAGTATATATTTTGAAAGGTCTTCATAAAAAAGTAATATTTCTAATAATATAGTTACTATAAAGCATATTTAATTGAAGATGCTGGTGCTATTATTATTGTTAGATAAAGCAAGCCTGTTTGTGGTAAATCTTAAAGTCCTTAAATTTACTGTACTACTAGCCACTACAAAAGATTATTCAGTAGGGACTGTATTTTTAAATTCTGTATTGAACAAATAATTACAACTAAGTTGTTTACGTTAAGAGATACACATTTTCTTGTTATTAATTTCCCACTGAAAATGGGTAGGTCGGTAGGTAAAGTTTCTCCCTCCCCTTCCCAAAATGTGTTTATGTATAAGAGTAAAAACTACACAAAAATACAACAAAGACCATTTTTAAATCTACATTTAAAAGCAAAACGATCGCATAACACTGTCGAATCACCTACCGTCCAGCAAGATAGACTTATTCCAGCATTTTTAGCTCATAAAAAAAAAATATATTTGTTGTAATAAAAAAAAAAAGAAAAAGTAAAATGTCGAGCCTCAATTTTATAAATTTTGGGTCAGTCAGGTGTGGCTAACACAATATTTTTTTTTATTTGGCCTTATACAGGTTAGTCTTGAGTTAGGCCTATTGCAAAAGAAAAATGAAGCAATAAAGCTGAATTCCCAGGCGCATAGAAGCTTTTCTTGCTTGATTGCGCTACACAAAAATCTATCTATTATTAATTGGGCAGGGAGAAGTATAGCTTGCGCTAATTACAAGAACACATTGTATAATCCTTTGCAAATTATACAATGATTGATTTCCAAAATTAGCAGTTAGTATAAGTCAGTTGTTTTTTGTTTGCTAGAAATTATTAATTGAAAAATTTCATATTAGTATATAACTAATTCCAATTTTTTTTTCTATTTCCCCTAAAACCATTTGATATTTTGTTTTTCCCCAATTTTTTCTTTGTTAACTGTAGAAGCACATAATCTATATCAAGTTGAACATATTATTATTATTACTATTGTTATTTCTCCACAGTATGTGTTGTTAAAACATCTCTTGGTTGTATTGAAAAAAAAACAATATTGGAGAGCAATAACGGTTCTGATCTGAATTGGAGTAATTATTTGATAATCATCATGTTTAAGTTCTTTTTATTGAAGTGCATTGTATTATTACTGTGTCTCAATGTATGCAATGGATTACCGTGGCAACGCGAAAGCAGACTATCTTTACAAAATATTAATGTAAGGAGGCAAAGAAGTGTAACGGATATATCAAGTCCTGTTGCAGAACCAAAGACTACACCAGAATCTGAGCCAAAAAGCGAATCGGAACCTAAACATGAACCAGAAACTGAAGTTAAATCTGAGCCAGAAGGTGAGGCAGAAGGCGAACCTGAGCCTGAGCCTGAGCCGGACGCTGAACCAGAACCCGAACCTGAAGATGAATCTGGGGGTGAAGCATTTGCAGAGCCAACACCGAACTGGACTGTCGCATTTGTGGAGTGGGGCTGGGCTTGGGACTTTCACTGTTATTTTTGTGGCTTAATGTTTGCTGCCCTGGCTGCATACTCGTTTTTCTGTATCGCCAAATTGAGCATGATCAGACTGCCTAGTAGGACATATTTTATTGCGCTGAACGTAATCGTCGTGATTATGGGCGTGGATCGTGCTGTATTTCTCATCGTTGATCCATATGGATCGAAGAATATTTTACCATTACCGGTAGTTTATGTTATGCTTGGATTGGGTTTTCCTTGTTTAACTTCATCGTTTAGTATCCTGTTTATGGCGTTGTTGAGTGCTACCAAAATGCAGCCATTGTCGCGGAATATTCAGCGTCCACAAGTACTGGGAGTCATCATTACGTTTCACTACATAATTTCAATTACATCCGATGTGCTAGCGGGAAAATTTCTTGCGCCAGAGGTTGTTCTCTATGTGTGTCAGTCTGCTTTTATTTTATGGGGAAGTTTTCTATTCTTTAGTTACTTGCTGATATTCCGAAGGCTACACAGATCTGCTGTACGTGTTTCCAAAGAAATAAATCATCTAAGTCTTATTTCAAATGCAATGTCTACGCCGGCGAATGAATTAGAACTTAAGAAACCAAAAGTGCGGTGGGGTAGTGCAGTGCGAGTAACACTCATCACAGCATTACTCGGATTAGGCTTATGCGGCCTTCAGCTGTACGGCATGCTAGTGGTGTATGCGCCAAACGCGGAGGAAGAGCCGCAGCCCTGGCCTTGGTGGATATACCAGACCATCTTCAGGGCGTGCGAAATCGGTATGTGTATTACAATGTGCTTTGTGGCCACTCAGCCTCTCCGACGATACAATCCAATTGAGAGAGCACAGCCGCAATATTCCACCAGATTTACAAGTTTTAGGTCCCGATTTTACTTACGTACATCAACCAAACCGCGTAAAAATGAAAGAGTCCTCAACAATTTTGAAAAACCCAAAAGTGGAAACGATGTTAACTTATTTGAAACATCTCCGAAAAAACCAAACTCAGAAATGAATGAAACTGAGCCACTAACAACCATGGATATTGGCAAAGGGAATGTAGATTTTGATTGCCAAAAAGACATGAAACAGAACAATTTTATTTAAATTTGTATGAGTTTTTAAAGGAATGATATTAAATACATGTTTTAATGCGAATTTGCAAAGATATTGACTATATTGCAAATGTCAACTAGATTTTATTATTATTATTATTATCAATAATAATTGCTGTAAAATTAGTGTCACTGTAGGCTGATATTGATGCATGCGGTTGGTACAATAGGAAGATGAAAACCACAATATCATTTCCTTCGCGTCCATTAACCTAGAAAAAAACGTAATTTCTGAATTGCCTGCATGGTTCTGGTCATGCCATTACTTTCTATGCTGCGAAAAACACCTGAGTCATCCTGCAACTTACTGTATCTTAAGTTTTTCCATTATTTTTTCAAGCATTATCCAAAACGTGGTTTCTGACTTAACATTAAAAACATTGCTGCAACATCTTGTGTAAACATTATTTTCTGATATAGCCTATAAACAATGATATCGTTTTTGTGTTTGCCAAGTTTTTTTTTTATAGGAAATGCCTGATGATGTACTATATAGGGCTTCTTTGTAATAACAGTTGAGGTGGTACAGTGCTCATCATATGAAGTCAGGACTTGTACATTATTAGATTCTAATGAGAAGATTCTAATATATAAGTAGGCATACAGCTTTTAAGACCGCCACTGCAAAGATATATCATTCACTGCATGTAAATTAAATTATTTAAAACTCTAAATTACAACTTAAAAATTGGCCAATTTGGTGCTTTATCAGCCTGTGTAAAATACAGTAGAACTCCTCCTCTTGGATACCTTTTCATGATGCACCCCTATGATTTAATATTAAGGGACACTTTTGTACAGTATATTTAATTTGGGATGTTCCACACTGATTATTAATTATTAAAGACTTATTGAATTCTAGTTGTGCATAGTGATTTCCTGAACAAAGTGAATTGTGGGTCAGTCTATTGTATTTATTATTGAATTGTGTTTAGTGTTGACGAACAGTAGCACTTCCTTTTATGGAATTTGGCTCCACCTACAATATTTACTGAGTTACAATACTAACAGCCACAGGCACAGTACTTGCTGTGCTATATTATACATCAATGAAATTCTCCTCTGAATTAAATTGAAGGTCGACCACACTGTTTTTTTCCTGCAATATAAACGTAGAAATAGACTTTTGATTGCCACAGTAATATTTGCAATGAATTTTTTTTTACATGTATTATTTACTGGTACAATGTACATTTACAAAACTGTAATATATTGAGAATGGTATTTTTTTTTTTTTTGTTCTTTGATATTAATTATCACACCTTTGTATACTTTTCATATAGAAATAACTTGCATGTCAAGTCTGAATTTAAAAAAATTCAATTGATTATTGAATTGCTATTTTTAAAAAATCAAAATAATTTTAGTAACTTCTGGTGCTGGTTATTGTGTTTATCAAAAAAATTGATGTTGTATTCCATAAATACTATTTATTTATTTATTTATTTAACCATATTTCAAGTGACCCATCCAGCATTGCTGATCATTAAACTTAAAACAATACATGAAGTAAAGAACAAGAATCACTTAATTACAGACCAATTTTTAAAATTTAGATATTAAAGATAATTTGCTAAAATTTGAACATACAGTAATTTAAAAGATTAATTAGATTACTAGTCAATTTAGAAAAGTTTATATACACAAAAAAAATAAGAATTGTAAAATATGTCAATTCATTTGTGAAACAATTAGCATACTGCATGCTATTTATATACTGTATATAATTTACAATTACTGTATATAAAATGTTTATAAATTGTTTTATTGCTTGATAAAGTATCACAGCCGATATACAGTATAAAGACATATGAAAAAAAAATTATAATAATGTGTGCTATGTTACAACTGCCAAAACTGTCTTCTCTTCCCTGTCGAAATCTGTTCTCCTTTCTCTCTCTGAAAGTTCTCCATTTGTCCTATAAATAGGCTATCTTCTATCTGTGGATTCATGTACCTTAAGCCAATGGTCCCAAAATAACCGAGACAAAAATATTTGTTTTAAGAAATTGAAAAAAAATAAATGAATTGGATCACAATATTTTATGGATATTGCGTTAACAAGAAAAATCAAATTACTTTGATATCTATAGATGACATAATGGTGAGGATGGGGATATGTCCCGTAAGTATAATTTTTTCTTACTATTAAAATAGAATCTGAAACTACTGTATTAAGCTACAGTACATTTACACTAGACACGATTACGACACGATACAGATGCGTGCAGTGTTGAAGAATAGAAGCTACGCGATGACATGTCGTCGTGTCGTTATCGTGTCTAGTGCAAATGTAGCTTTACACCCCACTCCTGAGCCCTGGTAACTGCAGTATGTATTGCTGGCTTTTCTAATTTTTATATTAAAATTCCATTTCAACTGTTTTTTTAAAGACATTATTTTGGTAATGTACAGTATAGCTGATAATGTTTGCATGCAGATGTACTAATACAGTACAGTAGTTCATATCATTTTTGCAATTCATTCCTTGATCACTGCGTAACTGTGTGTTTGGCCTGATAAGTACATATATCAGAAAGTACCTACTCAATATTTTGTTAGTACCACTATGTGTAACAAGTTCCAGGAAACTTCCACACTTTAATGTAGAGTGTTAATTAATAGACTATTTTAGTGCTTTCGAATATATCAAACTAATAGTGAATTATCTTCAAGTAGATATAAAATTTCTGTCTATAGCTTTTATAATAGCTCTATTAAGGACATCTTTTAAAGACACAGAGTTATTCAGGACATTTAAATCTCGGTCAAGGGTTTACAACTGATTGCATGATCGTTAACCCAGAAGACAATTTTACGGTAATTTAGAATAGCGTTAAAGTTTTTTTCTCCATAGACACAGTAAGTAACTATAATAACATGATTTCCAAATGAATAGCATTTCTAATGCTGCTGCAACTTGCTGTGTTAACATTATTTTCTGACATAACCTATCATTGAGATAATGAAAATGTAAAAAAAAAAATTAAAGACCAATTCATGGTTTTTAGTGGATTTGGTTTCTAACATTTGTGAATTTGGGATCACAGAAAAGTGATTTTTAAATGGAAGTGGTCTTTAATTGGAGGGAGACCTGTATTTGATATTTGACAGCAAATTGCATCTTATATTTCGTGTATCCACAACGTTTAAAACGTTTGTGAATTTTATAATATTAATAGGCACCTAACGTTTGTGTTTGCTGGAATTGCAGCCAAACACGGATCATAAACGGACTTTACACAAATTTGTGATCAACACGCAAAAATATATTCTTTTTAATACTGCTCAGTTTAGTTTTCTAAAAACAATATTTTAATATTATTTTATTTGTAGGATATGTTTTGCATTTTACTACTGTACATAATATTGTATGGATTTTTGAGTATTATATAATGTTGAAAACATTATATATACTTGGCAAGCATGATCAATGCACTGGTGTATCTAGGATTCTGAAATGTGTGGGGGTCTAGCTGATGGGAGGGGAAAGGTGAAGTGGGGGATCGATGATTAAGTGAGGGGGTTCTTCTGTTCTTCCAAAATAAGTAGACATGAGGTAATTTTTATCTCCTTGAGGGAGAGACTGGGGGGTAGGGACCTGCAAGTTTTTTAAAGGGCGTGTTCCCCTCATGCCTTCCCCTAGAGGCGCCACTGGATTGATGCATAAAGTTCAAAATTGGTAAATATTCTGGCAAAAGCGTGTACATAAATTGAATGTTCTTGTTGGTTGTAAATACTTTTTTAACTTAGGCAATATAATGTAATATTATCTTGTTATAGAATTGACAAAGAGCTACAAAGATGTCAATATCAATTCATATTATAAAAATTAATTGTAATTTAAAAATTTGCTGTCTATACCTAATTGTCTTGTCAATACTAGTTTGCAAAATTAAATAAAATGTTTATGGCTTCTACAGTATTGCTTATAGGCCTAAATATTGGGGTTTGTTGTTTAAAAAATAAATTATGTTTGAAAAATATCATATCATGAGTGATGTCACAAATTGTCTGTTGTTCTGTCTATATTTATTTAATATTTACATTTGTTATTTGTCTGATGTATACTTTTGCAACACCATGTTTAACATGGACAGACAAATAACAAATGTAAATATAATGTCCCTGACTGTATCCCCACAGCAGCAGGGGAAGTATACAGAATGTATCCCCACAGCAGTCGTCTTTCCTCAGTTGATATAATTTTATGTCAATAATAGTATATGTGAGAAAATCTCAAAAACTTTAAATATATCTATAATTAATTGCATATTTATATTAAAAGGATCAGATCAAAAGAATTGCCACAAGTTTTACATACATATACAGACATTATAACAACAATTATTTTGTCCATTTTAAGAATTTATTCTTAAATACATGGATACACCTAGAGTATTGTAAATTATAAAAGATAAAAAACATTTTTAATTCCATTTCTGACCAAATAATGTATTTTATCTTTAATACATATAAGCATAAAAAGAAAAGGAATAAAATAAATATAGTTTATTTTTATTTTACGAAATCACTTGCAATGGTTACAGTATTTCAGTGTGGGTTTTACTTATACCATAAAACCTGGAATTGAAGCTGTGGGCTTCTTCTAACAGTAGATTCTTTTCGATGTGAGCTTCTTTTTGAGGCTACATTTGCAAAGTGAAGAGGGAGACGTCTTTTCAAAAGCCGAAAGGTCCACTGATTAATCTCAGATAAGAAAGTATAATACATACTCAAAGTATTGAAATACACGCCATCGTGTTGGGATTCAATATTTCGACATTAATTATGTCATCATCAGGAATGAAAATATTATCCATATTAGCAAGCTTATAGCAAGCTTTTCAAAAGATGATGTAAGTTGTGGGAATTACTACAATAAAACAATAAATGACCACATCTGTAATGTCAGTCTGTGTCATGGAGTGTAAATCGACATTAAATCACCTAAACTGCTGTATAAACCAAGTAGGCCTATGTTTTGAATTTTCCTTTGTTTTCTTGAAATTCATTTAATATACTCTACTATCTCAAGAAAAAAAGCCAATGCTATCTTGAAAAGAAGCCCATGGGTTTCTTTTCGAGTTGGGCATCTTTTCAAGGCTGCTTTTGCAAACTAAAGAGGGGGCTTCAATTCGAGATGGGCTTCTTCTCGAGATTAGGCTTCTAATCGTGGTTTTACGGTATCTGTATGATTATGAACTTGTTTGATATTCAGCTGAATTGTTTTCTATGGGGTTTTAATGCTTTAGAACACTTGATTGGTCAGAGGTAGGTGAAGAATCTAAGTAAACAAATTGAATAATAAAAATGAAAATAAGCAAAAGATTTGGGGTAGATATATTTATTGTATCTGCCGCATTCCTTTTGCTTTGTGAAATATGCCAACCAGCTCTCATAATTCCCAGTAGGTTTAGATTGGAGTCTGTTCTATGAGTGGCATTTGATAATTCCTGGATTCAATGTACATGAAAATTATTCACCTCATAAATTGTAATTTAGTTAATAATAGAATTAAACTGTTTATGATTCATATTTTTAGAGGAGAGTTGCAAATCATATCTAAATCCCTCAAAGTCAAACACTTGGAAATTTATAGACAAAATTGCCTATTGAATGTGTGTAATTTAATCAGTTATTAACACTCAGCTAAACATATTGGAATGATAAAACTCTTTCAAGTCAATTTATTTAGGAAAAGCTGTAAACAACACATTTTATTCTCAATAAGGCTCGATCGACTGTCTTATAGTTATATCATCATCATTTAAGGTAAACAAACGTTTACTGTTAATCCCCAATAAAAAAAAAAGTTATTAGTTTATAATGAAACATTAATTTTTCCTTTTACAATAACAATAATGACCATCTGAAAGAATGATGTCAAGTCTAAGAAGAGGTTGGGACTTAAATTGCAGAAATACATTTATACAAAGATTCATTTTACTTCTTTTATAAAAAAAAAAATATTTTTACTATTTACCAACCTCTGTTAAGCATTAGTACATTACATAGGATAGTAAAAAGCAAATAGTCAATACCCTCAAAAAATAATAATTTCAAATTGCCGGACATGAAACTAACGATTAATTTTATTTAGACTAATAGCTCCTAAAACCAAATGAAATAATTTCCTGATCAGTGTGTGGTCAGCGCCTACGCTTTTGTTTCTGCCTATAAAACGTTGGTATCATAGTAGTGTGCAATGCCTGGGTCTCTCTTAGTGTTGTATTATTAGTTACCATCATGCTGGCCAAAAAAATCCCCTGATATTAAGTTATTAATCAATACTGTACAGTACATTTCTCTGCATGTAAAAAACTCTTAAAAATCCGTCTTTTTTGATTTACAAGACTTATGAGAATCATTGAAGGAGTTCAATACAGGGAAGTAGATGTAATCTGGTGGTATGTGATCATGTGATGTGGTTTTAATTGAAGTAGAGTTTCAATCATAAAGCACTGATATAGCCAGGATTCGCTGTGCCCGACGGTCGTCGGCCGATACGATTCTATTAAAAACGCAAAGCAACGAATCACGCGAAACGGATTGTTTTTCATGATGATCCGTTCAGACTGGCACCGACAATCAGCGGATAGTGTTGCGCCATCTAGCGCTCACAGGGAAAGGAGTTGGATTCATGGTACGACGGTCATACGATAATCGTACATTGTATCGAGTGCCCGGCTTAAAGAAAATCCACTACAAGTTCTTGTGCCTGTATTATAGAATAATTGATCTAAAATTATTTTTAATTAATACATTTCTTCGCTCACATCACAAACTAACGCTATCAAAGTAGATTGTGTTAGTTTGTGAAATCAGAGTAGCGCGTCAAAACGAGCAGGTATTGGTTGTCAAGCGCTTTTGTATTCTTTACTACACAAACAGTTGTTAACAACAGCGCGTATTTTGACGCGCATTCACAAACTAAACACAATCTACTTTGATTGTGTTAGTTCATGATGTGAGCGACAATTTATTACCACTATCATTTATTACTTTCACTTTCTTGTCGGTGGACAGAATATTAATGCAGTAAGATATATCTCCTCTTCTTTAGAAGTAAACTGACGGCCAACAAAAACAATGATATGTAATCAGTTTGTAAAATTTAAAAATCTAGTAGTTTAGTTCTTTTAAGGATACCCTCTGACAGGACAAGTACCCCTCATCGGCCACAGCATTATTGGACCAAAAAAGGGGAATTGGACTAAAGAAGAGTTACATTGTGGAGCTGTTGTATAAATAAATGTCTCGGATTAGCTTAAAATTGCTCGCATAAGTGCCTTGTTAATCTAAGTGTGAACTCCCACCCCCCCCCCCCTCCCAATGCTTTATCACCCAGACACTGAGCTACTCTCCATTTCGGGAACCACCCCACACGACCATTTAACTGACACCCACATTCTCCCACCCTAAAATTTATATCCTAGACACCATAGTGGACCTTTGTCTTGCCACCTATGCTCAAATGTCTTTGTGCAAGTGATGTTGTGTTCTGTGCAAGCTGTATTGTAGTCCAAACAGTAGAACTCATTCTCGCAGGCAGGCCATCATGTCAGCCGATTTTTTTGCAGAAAATTCAGTTCAGGTGGTGTCTTCTTAAGTGCCGAATCTTCCTCAGAATGAATGGATTGATTGACACACGCTGAAAAATGGCTACTTAAACCTGTAAGTATCATATTTATTTACACCGACGTTGCTTCCTTTTTTTTTTTTTCTTTGCCACTCAAATTAATTTTGCAGGCTCCTACTAAATCTCAGTATCATAAGTTTTATGTTTTCTTTGACAGGTATATGTCAAAGCTTAATACGTTTCATAGTTTTCTTTTTTTTTATGTATACGAAGGTTCAAGTTTTCTCAATCTAATTTTAGTATCACTATTGTTTTTGCGGTGCTTTGTGTTATTTGGAAAAAGGCATAAAACTTTACTGTAGTCTACTAGTATACTTATTGCATGGCCATATATTAGCTAAGATAAAAAAAAAAACTCCAAAAACATTTCTTTTTAAGATGAAGATTGTGGACCCTCATTTCTTACTTGTGAAAGCACCATGGTGCCAAAGCTTTATATATTCCAACCTAGATATTGTATGTGTATAATAGATAGAAGTGATTGGTTTGGCTTTTCTTTGCCACATATGAGGTTTTGGGAGTGGAGCCATGTTTTTAGGTCCTGTTGCCTTCTTCAGCCCACTAGTTTGTATGCAGCCATGATGTTGAAAAGCAAGAAATCTGGTAGGTTGGGGGAGGGGGGGGGGCAAGTGAGAGGTGAGGTAACATTTTAGAGGGCAAATATGTTTTCCCATAGCTGATTAGAGATACAATTTTATTCTATAAAAGCACAACATTAGGTAATACTTCTATTCATGTGCTTTTTTTATTTAAATGTTTAGTTTATTTATTACAAATGCCACTAGGTTTTCATTTACATATTTTACTTACTGTAAAGCCATATTTTAGAACTACACAGTTTTTGTGTCTATTGGCCACTTGGGCGCATAGACACTATGTTATCCCCTGACAGTTAACCCTGTAAAGAGCGAGAGAGTAAATCCGGTGGAGGAGCATGATAGGTATTATTACCACGAGGTACATTAGGGGCCCAATGTTAGAAATCGATAGACTTCTATACTCGAAAATAAATTGCGTTATGTATGCCTTTTGAAGGATGTCCTCTAGACCATGGTACAATAGTATTTTTCAAGATACAATAATAGGAGGATTGCATTACAACGACAAAAACGTTGTGTGCAGAAATAAACGATTACAAACCACTCAAACTGAATCCCCATGCAGATATTTAGTAAACAAAATACAGTTAATATAGATACATGCTTCCACTATTAGCCAATCATGATGTGTCAGGGCCCTTAGTAAATAGAGCACATTTTAACCCAACTAGTCTGGTGTTTGCCGATTAGTGTATCAAGGATTATGATCTATTAAACTGTAAATTATATCCTTGAGTGAGGCATAGCTAGTCCAGT